GGTACAGATACTTAATCGATGCGGTGAATACGTGAGGTCCTTTGGACAGGGAAATATAAATAAGTCTTGTTATTGTATTTATCACGAGGGGCAGTATATCGTCTCGGATTCTGAAAGTTACTGCGTTAAATTCTTTGATAAAACTGGACAATTTCTACACAGTATTGGTAAACAAGGAATGAGAAACGGAGAGTTCGACAAGTGGATTCCACTGGACGAAAAAATGGATTCACTACATTGTGAAAGTATAGTAAATATGTAGTGAATATCACATTCACTCACACTATATTCACTCGCGGCGCAAACCCGTTGAATACCGTATTTTCATCATATTCACAATGTGTAGTGAATGTTATGTTAAATGTACGTTTAGCATCATATTCACTTTAGTCTAGTCGGAACAGAGGGTCACGAGCACCCAAAAGATATACTCGGCTGAAATACATAATTATAACCATTAGAGGGTGTACATTAAGGAAATCAATGTTCCCAAATCAAAATCTTGTCCCATGACCTTGAAAAACGGGGATGAAGTTTTGACACAAAAAGCACAGGGTACCCAATTCTAGTTTTTTTGAAAAAAACGTTTTAAGCTTCACAAAATTGTTGACATCCTTCCTTTTGAAGCTAGGTATCTTCAGTTATCTTAAAGCAACCTTTAGATTGGAGAATGGTGCAAATTTTTAGTCATTGGTTTAAAAATATAGCATAATTTTCATCTGAATGATGCAAAAAATTGATAAAATTGACCTAGAAATAAATACATTCTTGAAAGTAAGCATTTTGTCAAGAGTTTATTTTCTTGAATTATCTTTGTTTTCTTTTATCTTTAATGATCGAGTTTTGAGCTCTTTTGGCCCTGCCAGATCGAATTTTACACATAAAGCACAGGAAACCCAAATATTTTTTTTCTTTTAAAATTGATTAAATTCCACCGAAATGCTAAGGTGGGAGTATTCTCTCAGAATCTATAAAGAAAAAACACAACACTACTCGTCATAATCGCTAAACCCATCTTCAAAATCGAAACTCCTCCTCTTCTTCTTCTTCTTCTGCTACTTCAATTAAATCAACAAGTGCAATGGGAAGTGTATTGGGCCGCTAGACCATACAGGTTCCAACAGACCATTCTTCTTCTTCTCCAAGCCCTGGTCATCATCAAAAGGATTTGGTCGCCAAACAAATTGATTGATCTGCCCTTTTGTAGTTAGCAACTTTGTGATTGACACGTTGGAGGTGTGCGACGAGACTATCATGGCATGGTTAAGGCGAGGAAGATCGAAGTACCGAAGAAACTCAGAAGCAAAGTATTTGACTGGATCCATACCAAAATGGGGCATTTCGCTATCGATAAAACTAATAGGTTTAGCACAGCAGCGTTTTTACTGACCCTTTATGTCAAAGGATCTCAGACAAAGGATAAAGTCATGTGGCCCATGTACCTCAGAAAGTCAAGACAAACAGAGGTACCACTAGTAAGTATAACATCTACCGAGCCCTTGGAGTTGGTTTTTGTCGACTATTTGAAGTTGGAGAAATCTAAAAGTGGATGGGGAAATGTTCATCACGGATCACTTTTCAAGATATGCACAAGCCGTACCAGCTAAAAACCAGACATCACTAACAACTGCTAAGAAGCTGTTTGTTAAGTATATAGTCCACTACAGTTTTCCATCTAGACTTCACAGTGACCAGGGTAGAAACTTTGAGTCTAATGTCATCCAAGAGTGTTTTAAGATTACAGGGGTAGAGAAATCTCAGACAAACTCTAATTATCATCCTATGGGAAATGGGATGACAGAGGTTCAACCGCACCCTATTGGGAAATGTTGGGGACTCTGCCAGATCTCCAGAAGACAAATTTGAAAGACTATGTGGCACCTTTAGTACATGCATACAATGCAAAAATCCACGGTTCTACCGGCTTTTCTCCTTTCTATTTAATGTTTGGACGTGAACCTCGTCTACCTGTGGATGTCGAGTTTGGAGTGACTCCTCATACTGCATGTTCAGGGAGATTTGTGGATAACCTTAGACATGCAGAAGCGCAGAAGCATTCACGTCTAGCTGCGGACCGAAACAAGCGTTATTATGATGTAAAGAAAAGTGAAGCACAGCAGGAACAAAGGGATAGATTCTTAGTTAGAAATTGCACACCGGCTGGAAAACTTGATAACAAGTGGGAGCAGCATGTGTATGTGATTTAAGATAACCCAAATGAAAGTATTCCAGTTTTTAGACTTGTTCGAGAGGATTGTAAGGGTAGAACAATGACCTTGTACCGGAACCTGATTTTACCATGCCCAAATCTGTTGGAACATGTATGGTCTAGCGGCCCAATATACTTCCCATTACACTTGTTGATTTAATTGAAGTAGCAGAAGAAGAAGAAGTAGAAGAAGGGGATAGTAATAGGGTCGAATTTGAAGATGGGTTTAGCGATTATGACGAGTAGTGCTGTGTTTTTTGTTTTTTCTTTATAGATTCTGAGAGAATACTCCCACCTTAGCATTTTGGTGGAATTAAATCAGTTTTCAAAAGAAGAAAATCTTTGGGTTTCCTGTGCTTTACTTAAAATTCGATCTGGCAGGGCCAAAAAAGGGTGGTGAGTCCATGATAACTTCTCACCAATTATATGGCACATGCACTCACCAAATGTACATAATACACATGATTGTATAG